GCGTCGCCACCATAAATTAGCAACATCAATTGGATAATTGGAATCAATATTTACCTTAGTGGTATCATCCTCGATGCCACTACCCCGGAAGAACTGTCCATGCTCCAAACAAAATTGTCAAAGTCCAGAGAAACATAACTCCCATTGAACACCTTCGGCTTAGGGATGTCGATCCTGGGACTAGTTATGGCCATTACGAGTTTCTCATGATGCCTTTCAGGCTGACTAATATTCCTTCCACTTTCATGGATAGGATGAATAGAGAATTCCAAACCTACCTAAATCAATTTGTTTTGGTTTTCATTGATTATATCTTGGTTTATTATAAGTCTGAAAATGAGCACAATGAAAATTTGAGGATTGTCTTGCAAAGGTTAAGGGAGAATCAATTATATGCGAAGTTCAGCAAGTGTGAGTTCTAGCTTTCAGAAATTACATTTTTGGGTCATATAGTCTTTACAAAGGGTATTCAGGTGGATCCAAAAAATATTGAAACTATTATGGTTGGAAACAACTGAAGAATGTGCCAGAGTTTCAGAGTTTCTTGTGTTTAGTTGGTTATTATCGGAGATTTGTGGAGGTTTTTTCCATCATCGCCGCTTATGTAACGAAGCGCTTTTTAGAGAGAAAAAATGTACCTTTTGATTAGATTGAGGCCCAGTAAGCGAGTTTCAATAAGTTAATGACTATGTTGACTAAAGCGTCAGTTATGATTCAATTTGAACCCAGTAAGGCTTGTACTATGTAGAGTGATGTGTCTCATGTTGAATTAGGATGTGTACTCATGCAAGATGGAAAAGTTGTATATGCATCTTAGGAGTTGAAAACTCATGAGTGTACCTACCCAACTCATAATCTCGAGTTTCCAGTCGTGATCTTTGCCCTTAAGATTTGGTGGATCTATCTTTACGATGAGAAGCATTACATTTACACTGATCATAATAGTCTAAAGTACTTCATCACTCAAAATGAGCTTAACTTGAGACAGTGTTGGTGGTTAGAATTGCTTAAGGATTACAACTGTGAAATCGAGTATCACCCCGACAAATCTAATGTGGTTGCCGATGCATTAAGTCATAATGTTATTGTAGATTTGAGGGCTTTATTTGCTCGTATGAGTTTGTATGAGGATGGTAATCTCTTGGCAGAGTTACGTGTAGTTCATACTCTTATTTTTTAGATCCGTGCAGAACATCGTAATGACCCATTTTCTATTCACCAGAATAGCGAGGTTGATAGTGGTGCATCTCAAGATTTTATAGTTGATCGAGATAGTGTTATTTGTTTCAGAGGTTGATAATGTATTATAAGGAATTCTGGTTTAAAGCAAGTTATTCTTTGTGAGGCTCATGATAGTTCGTACTCTATACATCATGGTGGGGATAAGATGTATAGAAATATCCAATAAAGGTATTAGTGAAAAGGACTCAAGAAGGATATTTTTGGTTATGTGTCTCAGTGTTTGACCTATTAGAAAGTGAAGGAGAGTATCAACATACATCTAGGTTACTGCAATATATTGAGATTCAACAGTAGAAATAGGAGCGTGTGACTATGGACTTTGTTTCGGGATAGATTGAAGATTACTTTTGATAGACGAAAATCATACGCTGATCTGAAACGTCATGATATTAAGTATGCAATGGGTGATGAGGTCTTCCTGAAAGTATCTTCATGGAAGAAAGTACTTCGTTTTGGCTAGAAAGGCAAGTTGAGTCCTAACTTTATTGGACCTTACATATTATACATCGTGTTGGACCAGTGGCCTACCAACTTGAGTTACCACCTGAGTTTGCTCGCATTCATGATGTTTTCATGTGTTGGAAGTGGATAAGGTATAAATACGACCCAATTTGATATTTGAAGAGGAGCTAGTTGAAATTCTCTAAAGGGATGAAAAAGTTCTTAGGAGAATGACCATTAAGATGGTCAAAGTCTTATGGCATAACTGCAGTCATGATGAGTCCACGTCGGAGACCGAGAAGACCATGATGGCTCAGTATCCGCATCTCTTTCCTCCAGGTAAACTTCGAGGCTAAAATTTTCATTAAGGGGGAGAATCGTAACACCCAAAAAACCCCCAAATTAAAAACCCTAAAATTTAGGAAATTTAAACCTAAATTCTTAAATTAAGATTGGTGACCAAATTGTAAGTTTAGAAAGTTTAGAGTCATTTTTAACCCTAGAAAGTTCAATGGCCAGTGCCTCAATTAACCCATTTTTTTTAAAAACAAATCCCACCCCCGTTCGATTATATCAGTGTGTGTCCCTTTACCCAAACCCTAGCAACGATGTTCATCTTAAATCCCAACCTCTTCGTTGTTTGCTTTATGTCGTTGTCGTTCCGCCAGTCATTCATAGGTATGTCACCGACCACTGCTTAAGTTCCCCATCAAACTCCGTTTTTGTTTTTTGATCGAACCCACAAACTAGGGCTCGTGAAATTTCATTGTCACCACTTGACTTGGCCGTTAGTGGCCGCCACGTTAGGGAGATATTGCCGGAGAAGGCTCGACTGGCCTGGGCAGCGACTGATCAGACTCGGGTGGCCGTGAAAAAACCCTTCTTTGACCTTGATATATTGTTGTCATTTTGCTTATCCTCCTTTAGCACCATTGTCGGTCGATTAAGACCATGGCATGGCCGACCGTGGGGCCCCTGACCCGTGGGATTGCTGCCGGTGTAGTTTGTCACCGACAATCCCCTATTCTAGCTCTGGAAATCACTTGTAATCGAATCGGAAGCTACTTTTGAACCCTAATCAAATCTAAAAATTATTTTAATTATTTTTCCTAAATTGGTAATTTATTTTGAGATTGGTTTATTGGGTTTTGAAATCGGTCAACGTAATTTTACATGAAATTTTGAACCGAGTTACCGCCTCCACAGCCGTTACCTATGAAGTTTGAACTTAATCGTATAGGTTGTGTCAACCGTGAGTGTTAGTTAATAAAATTTAGTATTTTATTTACGTAATTAATTTTAGAATAATTTATTTAAATAAATTATTTGATGTAGACACTAAATCGGACCGATCTACTATTCTAGCTTACCATGGTAGAGGTTACTGTCGTCGTTAGCTTTGTTGAGGTGCGTCTCTTTATTCGGTGCTATATTACTTGTTTGGATTGTTTGCTTGTTTGATCGATTGAAAATTTATTTGCGAGCATGTCTAATTGTGAAAATTGTCTGTGTAACTGCATTCGAAAGAATGTCATGGGTTGCATGTTGAGCTATCGGAATTGAATTTTATGTTATGTGTTTGCATGGAATTATTAGAATCAGAATATATGCTTCTATTTTATTTGAACATGCTTAAGAAATATTGTTATTCGAATCAGATCAAACATCGGATATTATGTCATTTTCCATATCATGTAGGGATGATTTTTTTATAGGGGAAGTTCACTGCATTCATTGGGTAAATGTCATTTTTTCGGATTCAGTGACCTCTACCTTTGTGGTGTAGTCCATTTCATCATGTGTGAGTTGGAATTAGTGAGGTTTTGAGAAACTCACTCTCTCTTCTAGGTGTGACAGGTGTATGGGCATGTGCATAATGTCACGGGCTAGGAACTTGGGTCCGAGACACTGGTGCAAGTGTCCGACAGAGAGGTTCAAGACAGAGGATCGGGCTTGCTAAAACATTGGTGCAAGAGTCCGAAAGGGAATCTCAAGATAGTTATCGGGCTTGCCAAAGCCACCAGACTTGGCCCATCGCTTGGAGAATGCTATGGAGCCCGTTCACATTGGCCGTGCAGAAAAGGAAAGTGGCATCATATCTGAAGATGATCACAGAAGCTCGGTAAATATGGCAAGAGGCAACAAAATCAGGAAGATATTGTGGGAAAATCTTACCATATCCAGTGTGAACACCTATCCAAGGAAAGAATCCTACTAATGGATGTAATTAGGAAGGATTTGGTTGTAATTCCTTGATTTAGGGGATTTGTCATTAATTGGGCAAATCTTAGCCGTTGATGTAAAATGATCTAGGCCATTGATTGAGAGGGAGCTCAACTATAAATAGAGAGCTCTCCTCCTCATTTGTAATCACCCAATTCCATTCTTCTCTTTGTGAGAGAGTAATAAAGCTCTGAGGCATTTGCTCTATTCTTTCTGAGTTCTTAGTTTCTTTGTTCTTGTTGCCTATCTCGGTGGCCAGGAGTAGCCACCTTCGTGTTAGCACTTCCACACGATAGTCCGGCCTTGTCGGCATTCTAAAGCTTCCGCAATCCGAAGCCTTGAGGGCTTGGTTCCAACCTTTGTGAGTTTGCACACTCACTTAGCTTGGGTAAGGCTTACTTAGTCGCCGATAAGACCGAGGAGCGTCTAAAGCGTCTAAGGCCGCACGACCCGTCAGACCTTGACTCTGATATTCCGACGGTGTGAGGCGTCGAAGTTCTGGGGGCGTGACAAGTGGTATCAGAGCGAGTCGTTGTGGGCAAGCAACGATCATTTCAACCGTGTTTTGGTGGAAGGTGCGAGTCGAGTAAGTTTGTTTTACTTACTTTCAATCAATTTACTTTGATAATTGAATGGGGCACAAGAAAAGAGGAGTTTCCGCACCCAAAGGCAAGGAGTGCCATGGTGGGAAACGGGAAGAGAGTCCGTTGGGCTCAAGAGCATCGTCGGTGTCCAAGCATGAGGATGCCGTGATGAGTTCGCAAGGAATGCTCGAGGCAACAATAGCACACCAAGGGGAGCCGGTTCTCGAGGTAGAGAGGCTCAATGGTGACGCCGAAGGCATGTCCGAGCGAGACGAAAGGTTCTCTCATGATGACGGGGAAAGTCTTCAGGAGGAACCAGACGAGGAGCTAACGATCGACGAGAAATGGGCCTATTGGATGGAAGTTATTGCTGACCATACCGAAAAGCTCATTAATCTAGAGCATATCTCAACTTCGTGAGAACAAAGGGTCGGTAGACTTGAACAAGCCGAGGATGAGGCCAAGCAGACCCAGGGTGTTGTGGAGTCCCGCCTTGATCGATTAGAGTCCATGGAGGGCAGATTCAAGGTCGAGACGCAACGAGTTCTTGACGAGTTAGAGATGGTTCGAGGGAGAAATGCCCAAGAAGCCGAGGTAGCGGCTTTGAGAAGCGAGGTGGATGAGCTCAAGAGGGAGCTACTCATATGCAAGGGAGCAATGAGTGAATGGGGTGCGCTAAAGACCTTCTTGGAAGGACTTAGACCAGGGGCGATGCTCGGGGGAGAGCAAGGTGATGCCCAGAGATTTTCGGAAGCCATAGCTGTAGCCGGAACGCCGACTGAGCTTGCAGATGTCAAGCCAAAGAGCGATGTGTTGTCCAGGCCCATGCCCAGGGATAGTGGCAACAATGGGGGAGACCGGGAAATGGTGCAGCGGGGAGATGGTATAGAAAGCTCTTCGAGTGGCCAAGTTGAGCCATCGACTGTTCGCGGCCAAGGAAAGCCATCGGGTAAGAATGGCAAGGCCAAGTCCGGGGAAAAGAAGAATGCGAGCAAGGAAAATCTCAAGTGCTACTTCTGTGATGGTCCTCACTTGATTAGAAGATGTCCCGAGAAGCGTCGCCTTACAACCATCATGGAGAGGATGGGAGAAGGAGGAGTAGCAAGCATTGGCGGAGGCAGAAGAGTTCAAGCTGCCAAGTCAAGGGAAAGACTTGGTCCAGTTGATGGGATCAATGCGGCCAAGCAAGGATCAAGACGAGGTAAGGCTGTCGAAGATAAGGCAGTCAAGCCAAGAAAGAAGCCAGATGCGATTGCGAATGATCGAGCAATCAAGTCAGGGGCAAGACTTGACGAGGCTACATGTTCCAAAGTAGCCGAATCAAGGGGCAAGCATGGTGAGACTACAAGTTCTCAAGTAGTCAAGCCAGGATCGAGACGTGACGAGACTGCGAGTGTCAAAGCAGTCGAGCACAGGAAAGGACCCGGTGCGATAGCAAGTGATAAAGCCGTCAAGCCGAGGGTGAAAAGTGAGCAGGTTTGCTCACAATATGCCAGGATGGAGTCGTGGTCCAAGTTGAGGCGCCTCAGGCATAAGGGGACACTGAAGGAGTATGTGAGCCGATTCAGAAGACTCATGCTCAAAGTCCCAAGTTTGACTGACGAAGAAGGGTTCTTCACCTTTATGTTCGGATTGAAGCCGTGGGCAAAGAAAGTGTTGGAGCGAAGGGAAGTCAAGGGGCTGTCTAAAGCCTTGACAACCGCCGAGTCCATCAAAGAATTTGGAGTCAAGAAGAAGACTTCCAAAGCAAAGCCCAAAGCCGAGGGTAGCGGTAGGAGATTCCAGAATGAAGGCAAGTCGGATGATGAGGAAGGTTGTTCCTCGAGTGGTAGAGAAGATCCACTCAATGATGAACCAGACGGTGAGTCTGGAGACAATGTGCGCAATCTTGGCACAAGTTCAAGTGCCGAAGATGCTAAGCCGAGGGTGAGAGCCGAGCAAACCAGGGGGCGCAAACTTAAGGTGCCCGAGGTGTTGCAAGATTACCCGAGGGGAGCCGAGTCATCCAAGGTAACGGATGAGCCCAGGATCGAGTTGTCCAAAGAATAGGACGAACCAAGGATCGAGGGGGCGTTGCGACTTGGCTCAATACGGTTCATTTCTACCAAAGCAAGTAGAGGCCAAGGGCAGACTGAGTTGACCATGTCCAAGGAGTCGAGACAAGGGCTTACCGAGGATGTTCAAGAGAGGAACAATCCTTCAAAGACTCGTAGACAAGAGTCGAAGGAGGCCAAGACGTTGAGGGACAAGGCAACCATGGAGACACCACCCATTTCAAAGGTGGGAAGCGAGCTCCAACCTTCGTGTTAGAAGGGATGAAGCAAGGAGGGGCATCGGACTTTGCCGCGAGAAAGTGCCGATGCAGGATGGCGCAAAGAACTCCAATGACAAGGGTTCAATGCGGGGAGTGTCAGACTTCATTGAGCAAGAAGGGCTGACGCAAAAATTTGAGCAAATGCCAACTAAATCAGAGGGGAAGGTACATCTCAACACTATTCTTGTGTTCTTGTGAGCTTGATTTGCAACTTTAAGTGAGTGTAGGTCGGGCAAGACCTAACTCTTAACGCGGATGAAAAAAAGTTTGGATGGGATCCAAGACTTTGCCGCAAGGGACAGGGAGGTCCAAACCAAGGCAAATCAAGACTTGTAGGAAAGAGTTCCTACGGAAGAGATGCACTTGTGGGCGTGTTAGCCCATTTCATCACTTGGCGGCAAGAGCCGAAGCAAGCACAGCCATTATGGGATGCTGAGTCCTTATGGGGGGACATGAGCAAGCAGAGGCGTCGAAAGGCAACCATGTTGATGTGAACTATGGCGTGAAAGATCGAGAAAGTTACATAAGGCAAAAGCCAAGGCAAGCAGTTCGTATGGGAGAATCGCGACAAGCCAAGGCACTGAAGAGTATCCAAAGTGGTGTTGCCCAGGATCGTTGAGTGCAGCGACGAGGGCGTCGCTAAGTTCAGTGGGGGAGAGTGTCACGGGCTAGGAACTTGGGTCCGAGACACTGGTGCAAGTGTCCGACAGAGAGGTTCAAGACAGAGGATCGGGCTTGCTAAAACATTGGTGCAAGAGTCCGAAAGGGAATCTCAAGATAGTTATCGGGCTTGCCAAAGCCACCAGACTTGGCCCATCGCTTGGAGAATGCTATGGAGCCCATTCACATTGGCCGTGCAGAAAAGGAAAGTGGCATCATATCTGAAGATGATCACAGAAGCTCGGTAAATATGGCAAGAGGCAACAAAATCAGGAAGATATTGTGGGAAAATCTTACCATATCCAGTGTGAACACCTATCCAATGAAAGAATTCTACTAATGGATGTAATTAGGAAGGATTTGGTTGTAATTCCTTGATTTAGGGGATTTGTCATTAATTGGGCAAATCTTAGCCGTTGATGTAAAATGATCTAGGCCATTGATTGAGAGAGAGCTCAACTATAAATAGAGAGCTCTCCTCCTCATTTGTAATCACCCAATTCCATTCTTCTCTTTGTGAGAGAGTAATAAAGCTCTGAGGCATTTGCTCTATTCTTTCTGAGTTCTTAGTTTCTTTGTTCTTGTTACCTATCTCGGTGGCCAGGAGTAGCCACCTTCGTGTTAGCACTTCCACACGATAGTCCGACCTTGTCGGCATTCTAAAGCTTTCGCAATCCGAAGCCTTGAGGGCTTGGTTCCAACCTTTGTGAGTTTGCACACTCACTTAGCTTGGGTAAGGCTTACTTAGTCGCCGATAAGACCGAGGAGCGTCTAAAGCGTCTAAGGCCGCACGACCCGTCAGACCTTAACTCTGATATTCCGACGGTGTGAGGCGTCGAAGTTCTGGGGGCGTGACAATAAGCATTTACATCACATTTATATATAATCATAACGTTGATATTTGGATGAATAATTTCTATTGTTTGTTTCAGATTATTTTGTAACTTGTGTTTGATTGCACTTTAGAGGCATATTAAGCTTACTCCCCCTAGTTTCTTCTTTCAGATTCTCGAGCTAGGCGAACTGATAATTAGAGTTGCGTCTTTATGAAGATTTTACTATTTTCACAGTATGACATTTATTCGGATTATCTATTTCTTATTTTAAATATAATATTTTGGAATTATTTTATTTTACCTGAATTTGGGACATTAGACAATATTAATTATTTTGGGTTGTTATGAATGTTTTAATTGTATTTGTAAAAATGGATTTCCTTTGACTTTTACTTAATGATATTTATTTAGTGTTGGAATTATAAATGTTTTCAAGCGTTAAATGATTGTTTTAGAGTTCAAAATAAAAAATGGTTTCATGAGGGACAAGTTTCAAATTGACTTTCCATATTCGACATATTTTCCTTCTAGGTCGGATTTACGGGTTATATGTGGAACTTCCAATGAAACCTCTTTTAAAACTTCAAGTGACATGTCTTGTGGATCACCTAAAGTCACGCCCATTGATTCTTCAAGACACATGTTTCTTGATTCTTTAATTTGAAAAGATATGTCTCTTGGATTGTCCTGTAAAACAAAAGAAAGAATAGGAGAAAAGATCTGGTTAGATAAAATTTGATTCTCTTCTTCACTCTACTCTTCTTCATACACATTTTCAACTCCATCTTGTCTTTAATTTACTACTTCACTCTCATTTTGTTCAACTCCACTTTATCTTTCTTTCACATTTTCTTCTTGAATATCATCTCTTTCAACTTGCTCATGTTCAAGTTCAATTCCTTTTGTCTCTTCAATTCGTTTTTCCTCCATTACATCTTTGATTTTCTCTTTTTCCTTCATTTATTCTTTAGATTTCTTCCATGCCTCCATGTGGGATTTGAGAGTGACTTGATGTTCATTAACTTGATTTGGACTTAGCAGTACCAATGCGATCTTTCTTCCATCGTGTTCAAAAGAGACATGATTGGTGAATCCATCATGAATTGCTCTCTTGTCAAATTGCCAAGGTCACCCCAATAACAAATGACTCGTGCTCATTGGTGCAACATTACAAATGGCTTCATATTCATATCTTCCAATTTTAAATGGCACAATTAATTGCTCCATGAATTATACTTCTTTATCTTTATTCAACCCTTGCAAAACATATATGTTGGAATGTTTGAATGTTGTAAGTCCAAATTTCTCCACCATGTATGTGCTTGCAAGATTTGCACAACTTCCACTGTCGATAATTACAAAAAACACTTTACCATTTACAAGGAAACAAGTGTGAAATACATTCCTTCTTTACTGATTGTCCTCCATTGTTGAAGAATATGAAAGATCACAAGACATTGTTAGTAGAAAAAAATTTAAATGTGTAAAAATGGACCTTACCAATTATGATCGCACAAGAACCTCACTATGCACTCGAAAGAAAAGAATAATGGCACTCAATCTCTCTTGTTTGCACTTAGAACTTATTTGGCTTTTACTATCCTCTTATGATCTCTCCTGCTCAAATACCTTTTTTCTCTCTTCCTCTTGTGCAAAAGTCCTTACAGAACTCGACTCAAAACTTTTTCAAGTCTTGGTCTTAGTTAGCATCGTCTACAAATAGGTTAATGGTTAGGATAAAACAAATATAATGAAAAAGGTGGCTAGAAATAAGAAATAAAAGAAGAAAAGAGGGTTACTTACAAGAAAGCACTCGCAACTTCACTTTCACCACAATCAAAGGTCTTGATCACTTGCCATGTGATGTTGAACCTTTGATGTTGTTGAAGTGCTAACCCTTGCTTTTGTTTTGATTTTTTGGTGCCTCACTTTGAACTTGGCCTTTACTTTGTTATTCAAACTCCTTGAATGAAATGATGGAATCTTTCTTTGATGTTTTCTTCACTTGGCCAAATTGCACCACTTGATGTATCCTTTTGTTTTATTTTTTTTCTTCTTTTGTAGGGCTTCTTGCTGCACGTTGGCTCTTCACCCAAAGCTCTGAATACCGTTTGATATCGGGTAACCTACCCCTTGATTGTGGATTTAGTGAATGAGTAAGTACCTGCAAGAAGATAGGTTCAAATGGAAGGCTAGGTAGTTGATGTAAGGGTGAAATGGTGGGCTGAATAAGATGAACGATAAAAGAATGGTTGAGGAAGTATTTGGGGTGTGGTGATGGTCTTATGAATGAAATGGATACGAGTGGATAGTATATTGGACAACTAAAAGAGAAACTAGGCTATAGGAAGCCTAACACCAAACCTTATAATTTGAACAAGGGGTGGTAGTAAAGGACTTTGACCTGTTTGGTATATTAAACCAAAAGAACCAAAAGTATCAATGAAAGAGAAGGGTTGATGCTAAAAGAGCCTAAGCACTTCATAAGTCGATAAAAGTTGTAAAGAATTTAAACAAAGAGGATAACCTCACAAGTATATTTGATATGTCAAGAGAGATAAATTGTACGCATTACAACTAACCAAGGCATTGGATTTATAGATTTCCAAAGGGCATAGTTGAATAGTGACAAATATATTTGTTAGGATGAACCCTTTGAAAGATACATGTTCTTTTAATGAAAAATGATGTCCTTGAGCCTAAAATAAAGTAATAAATTCGGCTAAGTGTGAAAAGCCTTTGAAAATGCATTTTTTTTATGAAGATTCATGTCCTTTAATAAATATTCATGCCTTAGGCCGAATGGTTAGGTGTTGGTTCGGCCAAGGGGGTGTTTTGGATGCATTTGGATTTTGTTTGGCGTCTAAATTGAAGAGAAAAGAGCTTTTGGCCGAATAGAGAAGTTCCCCTTGGTGTTTGGCGCCTATTTTGCTCTCACGTGATGTGTACATACTTGAATGATGCACATAGCAGCAAACACAATGCACATGACTCTTTTGATGTTGTGGCTTCTCCATGCCAAAGTAAGGTAAGGTCTTGGCCATAGGATGTATTCTTGGTGTAAGATGTTTCTAGGTAATGACATAGGCAGCTAGTGAAGCTAATAAGTTAGCTAGAAGCTTAGGTAGCTAGCTAGGTGATATAGATAACTTTGCTAGGTACCTAGTGTCACTCTAGCTGCCTCCAACTGACATAAGTCCTCAGCTCAGCTACAAAGTCCTTAGCTGCCTTCCAGCTAGTTTCAGATCCCGTTCAGCTCCTTCAGCTACTCTTGAGCTAGTGTCCTCATGCCTTGAGTTGTCTTGAGCTAAAATTAGCTATGCTTTGATGTAATTGAGCAAGCATGAGCTGCCACAGATTGTGTTAGCTATCTAAGAGCTGGCATAACCTTCCATAGCTACCAACCTAAAAATGCATAGAAAACAATTTTATAAGTATTGAATCAATGTAAAACAATGGAAATGCAATATGACGTCTAGGTAAAAGCTAGATATGAGCTTGATAAGTGAACATATGTATAAGATGAGCTAAATATGAATGCATAAACATTTAATAGACTAAGTAAAGATATGAATGAATGCCTTATGCTAAGCAAAGTAGAAGATCAACATATTATAAGGACTAGAACTTTTCATAACTATGCTTAACATAATATGCGTGATATAAACTAAGTATAAGGTAAGATAACACATATTAATCATGGCATGTAAGATAAGGCATGTAATCATCATACTTAACATGATATATAACAAGTATGCATGGAATAGTATATTAAGATGAACATGTCATATGTAGCATAGCATGAAGCATGATATAAATTATATGGAAAATAACTATATGATGTATAAACAAGTAGATATAAGACAAAGTAAGGTAGGACTCCCTTAGAATCATCCTTGAAGAATGTCCATGGTGTGATCAAGTGATGAAGAGAGTTGATGCTAGGCTGGATCACATCATTTTTTTCTCCAATTTTAAGAGAAACCTTGTCTTGAATC